ATATAAATATAAATATATTATTCCATCATGGTTGTGCTTGTTGCGACCGCGGCGCTTTTGTGTGGCTGGTGTAGAGTTGATTTTCTGCTCCGACCGACGACCGACGGCCGTCGGCCGACGCATCGGACAGAAGGGGACGGACACAAACGACGATTGCTGGCCCTGCCCCCGGGCACAGCCCAGCCGCCTGCCTAACCACAGGCTGACTAACTGACAAGCGCTGTGTGGTGTGCAGGCCACTCAGACTGAGCAAACTGTGGGGCAAAAGCAGTTTGTCACGAATACAAAAATGCTCAAAATGATCAATGATCAATAATTATATTATTATGATCTCAATTGAAATTTATTGCTACTCATATAAGTATTATTAGAACTAAACAGATATTCGAAATACTAATAGTTCAAAAATGCAATTCATAAGTCATCATATGCATAGTTTATTTTCGATCCAAGCGTAATTTCTCATTTTCCTTTTTAATTCAATTTTCAGTTAATCTAAGGGACCCACTGTGCAGTTGCTCTTGTGGCTGTGCGCCAAAGGAATAACAGCTTCGACAGCGTCGACTGCAAACCGCGTTGCGGCGACTGCAGCCAACTTGCGCTACAATTTCGCTAGCTCTGCCAGTTTACACGGATACACGGATACACACGCGCACATACTAAACGTAAAGTGCATACACAGTGCATGAGAGTGTGTGTGTATGTGCAAGAGTGTATGTGAGTCGTGGCTGCCAGACATTCTGGCACTAGGGCTCGGCCCGGCCGACATGTTTAGTGCTTTTGCTTTTGCTCTGTCGCCTCGACGCAGCGTCAAATCGTCACATGAACTTGTTGAGCGCTCGCTGTCGCACGATTTGCGTATGTGTGTGTGTGTGATTGTAGAAGAGGGGGTTGAGTGCGCGCCATGCCGTTGCCTCTCTGACTCTCGCTCTCTTTGGTTATGCTCTGTGCATGCATATATTTCTTTGCAAGTGTGTGCGTCTGTGTGCTACGTACACAATCGAGAATCAACTGTTGAATGTGTAATGCGCTGGTGTGCGTTGCCTCACGATGGAATAACATGTTATTCCATTATGAGAGCGATGCATTTTTTTTTTGTTTTTCGTTTTTTGTTGCTGCTGCTGCTCATGATTGTATACATATACATATGTTAGCATGTGTGTGTGTGTGTGTGTTTTGTGGTTGATGTTTATAAGCAATTGTGTGTGTGGTTGCTTTCGGCTGTGGGTGCATTAGTCGTCTCCGCTGCTATCATCAAGCGATGCTGCCGTGGCCGCCACCTGACTAAGCTCAAAGACAAAAGGGCATAGAACGCAGCGTGGCATAAGTACAATAACAAATCCAACTGCACTAAAAAAAAACAACGATAGCATAGAACGGCAGCAGCAACAACAACAGTACAWGTAGCAGCAGCAGCAACAGTGGGCCGCACTTGTTGCAAATGACAATCGAAATTCGCTGTCCGAACGCGCAGAGACAAAAATCTGCGCTGCCGATGTTGCTGTCGCTGTAGCTACTGCGGTCGCAGCCTCTCTCTGCTGCTGTGCTGCCGCGCCGATCGTCGACAACTGGAATTCATGAATGAAACACATATGCATGTGTTTGTGTGACTTTGCTGGCGTTATTGCTGTTGTTGTTGTTGCTGTGACGACTGCGTGTGTATGCAAATTCATAAATAAAAAATGTGTTCTCTGTCTATGGTAAGTTGTTGTCGCCGTCGCTGTTGTCGTTGTTGTTGTTGCCGTTGCCGTTGTAGCCAGCATCATTTGCGCGTGCGATATTGAAGAGCAGTCGAAGCGAGGGCCCAATCGAGCTAAAACGAGGCATAAACCAAAAGAGTCGAAAGACTCACGCAACATGATTAGAGGTGCTGGTCCAAAGGCACCGGCAACAACTACTACAACAACAACAGCAGCAATAATGCCGATAAAAAGCATTGACTCACCTAGTCAAAGCAAGAGGCGACGCGTCGTTCGCTCGCTCGTTCGTTTGCTCGGCTTGCTGATGATGGCCGATGATAGATCGCTGCTACTCAGCATTGCGCACGCCTTGGCGTGAACGAGATGGGGCGAGCGAGAGAGGGATAGTGAGAGTCGAGCGAGGCTTCCAGGCAGGAGAGGACACTGGACGCTGGACGCTGGACGCTGGACCTCAGCGCGCATAGATTCCCACGTCGTTGCCTATGCCTTTGCCTTTGCTTTGTTGTTGCTGTGCTTCTTCTCCACCTTGTTGTTGTTGCAGTTGTTATTGGCATCCCAACACGCCCCAAAAAAAAAGAGTACGACGCTTTGTCTGGCAACGTTGAGCGCTGCCTCGTCCCCGCGCTCGCCCACCCCTTTACCAATACTAATGCAACGCCGACGCCGACGCCTGCACATGAAAATGTTTTTGAATTGCATTTCCAAGTAACAAACAACAACAACAACAACAAAAACAACATCAACATCATGCGCCCAAGGAATAACAAAAAGCAAAAAGAGAACGAAAAAAAAAGTTGAAAAAGAACGAAAACTTAAATAACAACAACTACACAGGCAGCGCTACATGCGTGTGAGTGTGTGTGTGTGTGTGCGTGTTTAAAATAAAATCAAAAGAATTCCACTTTTGTGGCCCCGTCGGCTTCTAAATCGATTTATCAAAAAGAAGAAAACAACAAAAAACCAAAAAAAAAAAAAATAAAATAAAATAACACAAGAGAGAAAAAAACACATTCAAGTAAAAAGCGGAAAAGACGCAGGCAAAGAGATAAAAATTGAATATAAAAAGGTAAAGGTAACGTAAAAATCGAAAACCTATACACACAATAGATGCACACACACACACACACACACACACACGCATGCAGACAGAGACAGACACATGAATTGATTAAAAAGTTGATGGAGTAAAAAAAAACAAAACAAAACAAAAAATCATTTGGTCAACGAAGGAGTCGGCGCGCAGCGGAGGGTGAGCAGAGAGAGTGGAGAGGGGGACATCTTGAAGCACAAAGGGCGCGGTACGATCGAGTGGGCAGCGAGCGGCGAGCGGAAACGGGGCGACACATAAAAGCGACAGCGCAAGAAGGAGAGAGATAGAGCTGGAGAGGAGACGTGGGCAGAGGGGAACGGAGTGCGGGGCCAAATGGTATTGGGCCCGAGCCCGACGCCGTGCTGTCTGCCTGCGAATGCGGAGCATAAACCCACACAGGCAAACATCAAGCTATATAAACACACACACACACAGAGAGCTATATACATATATTTGTATATATAGATATATATGTACATTGGTGTATATAGACAAACGAGTCGGACCCGTGGAGTGGGCAGGGGCAACACTTGGAGACAGCAACTCAAAAGATCGACGCGCACGCGCAACCCAATCCCAGCTTAACTAAGCCAAAGCCAAAGCCAAAGCCAAAGCCAAACCAAATGAAACCGAATCGATAAGTCGACGCATAATAATAATATAATCTGTATACATAGATATGTATATACATATATATACATATGTATATCCATATGTATATATGCGCAAGCAAGATCAACGTTGATAGTTCGGATAATATCAGGTTATACCATAATATTGTCAAGTTTCTATATAGGACAGAGAGAATTGGCCAAGACAAAGATACCAGGACTATAAATAGAATGTATGAGCTTATACACATAGTATATATATATATGATTCATCGGATATTAGCAATTGGCTAAGGTAAAGATTACAGCATATATAGATAT